AATATCTTTGATATCCCATGCAAGTGAATTTTTACTAAAGCTAATACAGAAAAGGCTGAGAGTATACACTGACAGAGACCTTCCAGAGGTACAAGTCAGATTCAGAGTAGGACGTGGAACAAAAGAAATCATTGATGAAGTCCAATGGATCTTGGCTGAAAGCAGAGAATACCAGAGAGATGTTTACTTGTGCTTTATTGCCTATGCAAAGGCTTTCGATTCTGTGGATCATGACAAGCTATGGACAACATTTCAAAGTGTGAGGATTCTAGAACACTTAATTGTGCTCATAAGGAATCTGTACATGGAACAAGAGGCAGTTGTACGAACAGAACATGGGAACACTGAATAGTTTAAAATTAAGAAAGGTGTATGACAGGGTTGTATTCTTTCACCATATTTATTCAACCTGTATGCTGAGCAAACAATCTGACAAGCTGAGTTATATGAAGAAAACTGTGGCATCTGTATTGGAGGAAGACTCATTAACAACCTATGATATGCAGATGATACAACGTTATTTGCTGGAAGTTAAGAGGACTTAAAATATTTACTGACAAAGATCAAAGACGCAGCCTTCAGTATGGATTACATCTCAATGTAAAGAAAACAAAAATCCTCACCACTGGACCAATAAACATCATTCTTATCAACGGAGAAAAGACTGAAGTTGTCAAGGACTTCATTCTTCTTGGACCAACTATCAACACTCAACATACACCAAGTGTTAGCACAATTTCTCTAGACTCTGTAAATAACACCTCCCTGAAAAGAGCACCTCTATGTCTAACTCCATCCCATTCTACCCCCTTATTGAGCTCTGTTGTCCAAGGGAAGCTGTGGCACCTCCACAAGCCAATACTTACTCAGGATGTAGCCTGCCGTCCAGCTGCCTTTGCTGACCAGCCCCTGAAGCAAGCGGAAGAACACCATGGATGCATAGTTTGGTGCAAAGGCCATGAGAACTCCTGAGACAGCATTGATGAGGGCAGTCGCCAGGAGACAAACTTTGCGGCCAAACCTTCAGAGTCAAAGGTAGAAAGGTGTGATGCAGGGTGCTGGGAATTTGGGGTCAGATCCTCACAAGAAGCACAGCAAGGTGGCACCACCTCACAGCTTCCCTGAGGGACAATACACATCTGTCAGAAGTCTCTGCCCCCTCACTGTTCCACCTCTGCCCCTGGCATACTCCCTGGCTGTTGTCAGGTGCCATGAAACACTCTGCTCTTGCTCTTTTTTATTGATAGTCTTGGGATTGTTTGTTCCTGCTCCTTTTAAACGTAGCAGGATGGCAAAACGAATCCTTGTGTTAGTGTCCTATACACCATAATTGCATGTTCCTACTCAATCATTCGGTGGGAATTAAGAAAATTTTGGTTAGAAAAGCCATATCAAGTTAAGTTCAAGGTACCACACTAATTCATATGTAGTCTCATACACCTGAAATCTCCTCATCTTTCTCTATCTCCCACCATCAAACTAGTTAGAAGAGCTACCAAGTCTCCTCTCCAATTTCTGTGGTAGATTCTAATTGTTCTTCCTCTTTCACTGTTACTCCCCAAGAACTCATTCTCCTCCTGACATTTCATTGACCTGTTTCATTGAATTAGCCTTAACATACCTGTCTGCAATGTAGCCAACTCCCAAAGAGCCGAGGAAGAAGCCCACATTCACACAGGACTGAAACAGGTCCACTTTCCAGGAATCGCCACACACCAGGTTAAACTGAGGAAGGGACCAAAAACACAAAGCCATGTAAATCAAAACTATACCTTTGCATTCTTTCTTCTGGCAAAGTAAACGTAGGGGCAGGCCTTGATATCTCCTGAGAGCTTCACAGATGTTCCTCTCAAAATGGAACGTTTCTGGGGAATCTCTCAGGAATTATCAGTCTACTCCTAGCATCTTTAGAACACTCTCACTATCTATGCATTAACGAGACCATCATTGAGTACTTCATCATTGACAGTTGGATAGTTGATTATCAAAGGACAAAGTGTCTTTGGTAAAGAGAGCAAGAACAGGTGGACTGCCTCTTATGAGTCCATTAGGCCATTTTTCTAGCAATACAGCAAGATAATATTCCACACACAAAAAAAAAGAGGAATATGGTGGACTAGGCGGAAAAACTGTGCAAACCCTCTGCAGTAAGGATACGGAAAATCAGATGAGACAGTCAAAGAGGAAATCTTGGAACTCTGAGCTTCAGGTAAAGAGATAAAATGTGGATTGAGTGCTTACTAGGAGAGAGAGCTGAGCACACATGACAAGAGAGGACACCTGAACTGTGGTGGCTGACTGGGCTTTTATGAGCAGCTTCAGACACAAGAAAACATATTTACATTACAGAAACCTAACTGTGGTTCACAGAGACAATGGTGCGATTTTTCTTTTTTTTTTTTTTCTTGTTCCACACACTTCCCTGGTGACCATAGGTAGGCTGGCCTCCACCAACATATACTCCCAGTCATGCTCCCACTTTCCAGGTAGTCAGAGGGGAATGCTGAGGTTGTGAGCCCCATGGAAGGAGGAAGGACTATCCACAGTAACCCACTCAGGCCAGCCCTGCTCCAAATCTGCAAAGTCGGTCTTGGCCAGCGCTGGATAGTTCTCACTAGAAGTGACTGAGTGGATGTGTGAGATAAACAAAAAAGAAGAAAAAAACTAGTTGTCTGTGCAGGATGGACAGGTGCAATGGGACCATTCTGAACTTTCTCAGGTGGCTATAAAAGCAAGAGGCCAATAATTTGTGCAGTGGCATGCCCGTTATCGGCAGAAAGAAAGCCATTGAGTTTTTTGTTCCTTCTTCTTTCTTCATTATTATTTTTCCCCCCCACTGGTTTGTTTGCTTGTTTTCCTTTACTCGTGTATGTGTTTTCTCTTCTTGCCTCACCCAACAGGAGACAGAAACTGCTGCCATATAGCCCAGCCACAGCCTTACCATCTACAACCCTGCCAATTGGGTTAGGATCCTTACTAGATGTTGTACACTGAATCAACAACAACAACCAACATCAGCTAAATCCATCCCAAACTGAACTGCATAAATTGCAAACAGAGAATGGTGCACAAGCTCATCTCCTGATTACACACACCAGGAGACAGTTGAGTGCCTAAGAATACACTAACATACATTCATCAACTTAATACAAATACAACACCACAATGCCTAGAAAGCAAAACATTTCTGTTCACATGTAGAAACAATACAGAGTAGCTCAAACAAATGACTAAGAGGCAGAGCTAGAAGATACTTTTGAGGAAGAGGAGGCACTAGAACTACCTTAAAAGTAATTCAGGAAAATGATATTGAAGTACAACAAACATTTTACAGAAAGGTTGAGAAAAACAAGGAAGAATTCAGAAGAGTGTTACTGGAACAATCAAACAGATTAGACACAGCACTGGGGACAATACAAAAGCTGCAAACAGAAATCCAAAAGATCAGTATTAAGGAGTGGCAATACTAATCTCTGATAACATAGTCTTTAAGGCAAAAACCACCATAAGAGACAAAGAAGTACATTATCTCATGACTAAAAGGCCAATTGAACACGATGACATAACCACAATAAATACCTTTGCTCCCAATGAGAGAGCTTCAAATGCATAAATCAAAGTCTAATAGAAAGGAATAAAAGAAGGAAGTAATAATACTAGATTTTAATACACCACTTTCAAAAAATGTCAGAATGAGAAAGAAGCATAACAAAGACACAGAGGAACTAAACACAATCAATCAATTTGACCTAATAGATCTGTACAGAGCATTCAACCCAACAAAATACACATTCTTTCCCCATACACATGGAACAATCTCAAGAAGAGACCATATGTTAGGTCCAGATGGCTTTACTAGTGAATTTTACCAAACATTCAGTGATGACACCAATTTTACTCAAACTATTCCAGAACATAAAAAGGATGGAAAACTCATGAATACATTTTATGAAGTAAATATAACCCTCATACCAAATCAGGCAAAGACATCACTAAAATAGAAAATTATAGACCAATACCCCAATGAACAAGGAGCTCTGGTAGTGTAGTGGTTACGAATCAGGCTTCTAACCTCACAGTCAGCAGTTCAAAACTACCAGCCGTTCTGTGGAAGAAAGATGAGGCTTTCTGCTCCCGTAAAGATTTACAGCCTCAGAAACCCCATACAGGGTCGCTATGAGTCAGAACCAATTCCACAGCACACAACAACAACAAACTCCTATGAACATAGATGCAAAAATTCTCAACAAAATCCTAGCAAATAGAATTCAACAACACATCAAAATGATGATGCATCATGACAAAGTGGGATTCATACCAGAAATGCAAGAATGCTTCAATATTAGAAAAACAATCAATGTAAACTGCTGTATAAATAACAAAAGGAAAGGAATCACATGATCATATTGATTGATGCAGAAAAGTCATTTGACAAGATCCAATAACCAGTCTTGATAAAAACACTCAACAAAGTAGGAATTGAAGGGAAATTCCTCAAGATAACTAAGAAAAAGGAAATTAGGAAAGCAATACCATTTACAATAGCTACCCAAAAGATGAAATGTTGTTGTTGTTAAGTGCCATTGAGACAGTTCTGACCCATAGTGACCCTGTGTAGGGTTTCCAAGGAGTGGCTGGTGAGCTTGAACTGCCAATCTTACTGAAACAAAAGACCTGTACAAAGAAAACTACAAAGCCCTATTATAAGAAACCAAAAGAGATTTACAAAAATGAGAGAACATACCATTCTCATGGATAGGAAGACTTAACATTATGAAGATGTCAAAAATTACCCAACACAATCTATAGATATAATGCAATCCCAACCCAGATTCTAATATCATTCTTTACAGAGATGGAAAAATTTATCACAAACTTTACATGGAAAGGAAAGAGACCTCAGATAAACAAAGAACTAAGTTGGAGGTCTCTCACTCCCTGATCTCAAAATTTACCACCAGTCACAGTGATCAAAACAGACTGGTACAGGTCCAATGACAGATACATAGATCAATGGAACAGAATTGAGCACCCAGCATCCACATACAGTCAGTTGATCTTTGACAAAGGGTCAAAACACATTGAATTGGAGAAGAGACAGTCTCTTCAACAAATGGTGCTGGCAAAACTGGAAGTCCAGTTGCAGAAGAATGAAACAAGACCCATTTCTCACACCATATTTAAAAACAAACCCAACATGGATTAAAGACCTAAATGTATAGAACTATGTTGTTGTTGTTGTCAGGTGCCATCGAGTCGGAACCGACTCATAGCGACCCCACACACAGCAGAACGAAACAATGTCTGATCCTGGGCCAACCTCACTACCGCTGCCACACTTGAGTCCATCAATGATGCCACCTG